ATAGCCTCCAATCCAAATGTGGCTCCACCGCTGCTAATTATTTGTACAGGTTCGCATCAAGTTAGGTTCTTGTTTCATTTTTTGATAGATAGGAAACGAAAGAGGTCATAGTCTCTATCGACTTCAAGTCATCACATTTGAGGGCCTAGTGAATGTTTGATAATTCAACCTCATCATCTTTTAACATGTCTTGGAACTTAACATATATTTACCTGGGAAACCAGATAGCAACATATCCCTTGTCCTTTTGTCCCTATACTCATGGCAAATCCCATTCGTCACCCATGTCAGGTTGAGAGACGAAAAATGTACGGATACAAAAACTATCTCTATTATTGAAAGACAAAAAAAGTGATGAAAAAGAAAGATAAAGTTGAAATTTGTTGTTCAATTATTGTGTCTTTTATTTAGAAGGTTTTTGGATCCAAGTGTCATTTTCTTACCCTCATTCAATTCCACGGGCATTCTTCCTCCAAATTATGCAAATATTTCCTCTCTAGAAATCAAGTACTTTTGTTTGAAATGAGTTCGTTTTGCAATCATGAGTTGTGTTCTCTAGTTCCATTGTGACAACGGTATCTTTCAAATAAAATCGAGGGAAAATTGCAACGCTGGTCCCAAACCTTTCGTTTTGCTGCAAATTACACTCAAACCTTTAATTTTTACAGCCGCAGTCCCAAACCTTTATATGTGATTGCAACGTTGTCCATTTCATGCATTACATCCAAATTATTGTAAGTCAACGAGAAAATCTGCATTTTGACTTCAATGGGACACTTACTTTTGGGTAAAATTGTTAAAACCAACTCTTCCACTACCAAACAAATCGCCTGTTGAGTTCCATTTGAACGAAAACTAGAAGAACACAACATTTCCTCCCACTCCATAATAGATCCCCACGAAACTAAAAATTGTGATAATGCAAAAATTGCTTGCCATCGTAGTGGCTCACTTGTCAACTCCATTGACGGTTAGCCTTAAAAATGTTTATTGTCCTATGCTTTCAAAAATGACATTACATTCAGTGGTAGAGAAGAAATATTAGCAATTTGGCATAAATCGTGTGCTTTAAAGATGGCATTACGTTCTTGAAATGGTCCTTGTACTTAAACACATTTGTTTCTTGCATCGCTAAAGGCATGCTTATTCCTACGTTGCATATGACAATCAAATGATGTACTTTTGTTAACATAAAGAGTGTCAATGAGATTGTATATATTCTGATTTTGTATTTGAAGCCCTCATTTTGGGGAATAGTTGAAAAACTAATGTCATGTCAATGTAGTTTTTGTTTGGTGCTTGATATTGTAAGATGTAATGTGATTTTGTTTTTGGGGAATGGCAGAAAATGTAATTTGGTTGCCAATGACAATGATTTTTAGGTATATATTGCAGTGTTGATAGCTTGTATTCTATTCTTTTTGGTCATCATTGCTATATTCAAAAGTCAACAATTGGGACCTGTGTTGCACTCTTGGACAAAAGTTTGGGACTATGTTGATTTATTCTACACAAGTTATGGACCTATGCCGACTTAGTTACAAAATGTTTGGGATCAATACTATAGCAAGTACAGAAAAATTGGTACCTATACTGTACCGTCAATAAATGTTTTGGGATTTTCGCTGTATTTATAATTAATTCGAGCCAGGCTTACCACTGACAAAGCAAACTATTAAGTTGACCACGTACTTCATTACTTAATATTGGGCTCCCAAATATGGGAAATATAGCCATCAAAATAGCAAATTCAAAAAACTGGGATCAATACTATAGCAAGTACAGAAAAATTGGTACCTATACTGTACCGTCAATAAATGTTTTGGGATTTTCGCTGTATTTACAATTAATTCGAGCCAGGCTTACCACTGACAAAGCAAACTATTAAGTTGACCACGTACTTCATTACTTAATATTGGGCTCCCAAATATGGGAAATATAGCCATCAAAATAGCAAATTCAAAAAACCATTCTTCTAATACTAACCGCATACAAGAAATCTAACAATAACTTAAACACAGATCTAGCTACACGTCCAGGTTACAACAACCCCTATCACAAATCTTAATATGCAGTTTTTCCACACGAAATTTCCAATTGATTGAAGGGTCCAAATTTCTACTTCCATCTCATTCCCTGCTCGAAGAAAAGCAGGAATCAACTCCCTCGATCTCTCGCACATTGGTGGGTCGAACCAAGCAAAGAAGTTACATCCCTCCACATCTTGATCGCGTGAACAAGCCAGAAATCGTCTTCGTGGGTTCAAGTTGGTCTAGGAGTCTTCATCTGGAGAGGGTTTCTACATCTACACACGTTCACATGGCTATTGTTTTGAAATGTTAAAGATAGAGACGGTAGGGCAGGGATATAAAAAGGGAGGAAAACGAGATTTGTTGTTTGGTAGTGGAAGAGTTGGTTTTAACAATTTTACCCATGAAGTAAATGTCCCGTTGGAGTCAAAATGCAGATTTTCCCATTGACTAATGACAATTTGGACGGAATGCTTAAAATGGACCAACGCTGCAATTATATATAAAGTTTTGGGATTGCGGCTGCAAAAATTAAAGGTTTGAATGTAATCTGCAGCAAAATGAAAGGTTTAGGACTGGTGTTGCAATTTTCCCTAAAATCAATCATATCATGAAAGGCAATTGCTCGAAGATCTTCAAAATTAGTGAAGAAATAAAATTTCAAGGAAGTAGCATGAAATCGCTAGTCTCATATTTCAATTTTCCTATAATGTGTATTGTGTTGAATTTGAAACCCGAAATTTTATTTTATTATGGAGCAACACTTGTACAAATTATTGTATGACCAAATGCACCAAAAATCTCTCCGCTAATTTGGGTAGCACCTTGCTTATATCTCTCATTAATTCATTCCACTAATTCGCTTTAATTTCTCTCTCACACATCACTCATGTATGTGTGCCTCTCTCTTTCTCTATCATGAGTGCCTCTCTCTTTCTCTATCTCTTTGCTCACACTCACACTCACACTCACACGTGACACAATATATAGCGGCTGAACGCGCGCGCAGAGACATGGATATATAGGTCTCCACATTGTGTTACTAGGATACTAATAAGTGGATTAGGAAAATCAATTCAACGAATAGAAGATAAATTTAAACATAAATGTACGATATGAAGAAATCACAACCGACTTGGCATACATTATTTAGTCATATTTTAGACTGCAGCCAACCAAGACAAGAAAAATATAGAAGAAACCAAATGCTTGAAAGTCGGTTGATGCTTCTCGTTTCTTCTAGTAAGGCTGTGGACAATTGTCAAGCACTTGGTTTCTTCTATATTCTTCTGGTCTTGGTTGGTTGCAATCCAAAATATGACTAAGGCCTTGTTTGAGCCACATTTTTTGAAAAAAAATACATTTTTCAATAGTGATTTGATATCATTTCAACAACATATTCTTTAATAAAATAATATTACACGCAAATTCAAAATATTTCCTTATTTTTTAACTACACATTTTCCATCAATATCTATTCAAAAATGCATTTTCATTCCAATAATGTGGCTCAAACAAGGGCTAAATAATTTATGCCAAGTCGGTTGTGATTTCTTCATTTGTACATTCACGTTTAAATTTAACGTCAATACGTTGAATTGATTTTCCTAATCGAAGTAGTAGTATCCTACGTTGAATTGATTTTTCTAATCTACGCTGAATTCAACTTCAATGCGTTGAATTGTGATTTAAGCTGTTTAGCCCTTTGTAACACCTAAACAAATTCTAGTTCTTATCTCAAAACTCTGTGTTCCTCCAAATACATTGTCATTCATTTGCCTAATGTGCAAAAAGGTTGGACCTCATTAATATTTTTCCATTTCCATGTCTTATTTCCCTAATCGTGCTTGTTGGCATCATATTTTTTTTTATCATCAAGGAGATACTCATCGAGGTAGCAAAACCATCGAGGAATTGTTCCTTCATAATTTACACATCATTGTCCTAAAAGACACAATTAAAACCAGTACTTTACTTATTTACGGGGTGGCCACTAAAATAAATGCTTGTTTAGTACAAATTTTAAGTCAATTAAAATTAATTTTTTTACTGTTATTTCACTATTTAAAGTCGTCATTTTTGAATTCTTCTCTCACAAGTAGGATCCACTTTATCTCTAACGATCAAAAAATCAATTATTAAAATCCCTATCAAACAAGCAAAAAGTCAATTGCTCCCCCAAAATTATCTATTGTTTAATTACGATGTTGTCTTTTAAAAGTCATTTACATACGTATCTTTCACTTCCAACTTTTTGGTGCTCATGTTTGGTCCCCTTTATTAAAATTCGTTTTTAGGAACTTAATTTCAATCATACATGAGATTTGCGACTTTTATTTATTTTTTAATCATATACTTCATCAAATTTTATTAAAATTTACTTAAAAATATAATTTTTAACAAAATCAAACTGAGCCTAAATGTAAATTTATAACGGACTATGAGGTTCACATGACAATCTAACAGAAAATTTGGATATATTTATCGTATGTAATTATAACGAAATGTTAAAAACTAACTTGTTACTTGACTAATAATTTGAGGAATGGTACAAATTTTCTAATTTTTAAATTTACGGACCAAACAAATTTAAATCCCCACATTTATGAAAAATAAAAACTCAAGTATCTCATTAATCAATGTACTTTTTACAATAATTTCTAGTAATCGTCGTACCTTCAATAACGTTTTTAACTGGCTACAAAACTTATATGACATGATGAAAAGTAATGTTTGAATGTGCTACATGTGAATATCCACTACACATGATATCCTTTACTTCGACTTCTCTAACGATTACTGATAGAATAATGGATGGGTTAATACTTATTAAATTTAATCGTTAATTAAAAACGTTTCAAACTTTAATGATCAATGAAAAATAGTGTAATAAGTACAATTATCATTGAGGAAATTATCCCTAAATCTTATTAACCAATAAACATAAGAAATTTCTCACTCAAATTTTGCAAAAATCAATCAAATTCAGCGTTAAAAAACCCTTATTACTTCGCATTTGATTATATTCACAAATTCTCGCACAGTATCACTTTAATCCCCAATCTCAGAGATAATGCAAATAAAGAATTAAAAGAAAAGACACATCAGCGTACGGAGTCCCTTTCTCTCTCTGCCATTTTCATCTCTGCTGACCGCTCCAGAGCTATATTCTTGGTCGAACTATCATAGGTTTAAATATTTTTTTACTCTTGTTTCTTGCATTGTATTTCTTGAAAGTTGAAATCCACTTTTTTTATGTACTAGTATATTATGTTTGTTTGCATGGAATTATCTTGGTTTTATTGTGTAACGATCGTTTATTCTCGTGATCAAAGAAATGGGCTCTGAGAAAGAATGATTTTCCAGTTAATCTTTGTTTCAAGTTTAGGGTTTCAGAATTCTCTAAGATAACCAGTGATCAAGAATTTTCTATTATTGCCTTTTTATCGCTTTTGTGATTTTTGGTACTGATGTTTAATTAAATGAGAGTAATGTGTTTTAAGGGATAGAAGAGGGATTGGTTTTGATGGTCATTTTTGGATTTCTAGGACCTGAACATTCTGTTCTGTTCTGTTCTGTTCTGAGTTTTCTTGAAGACGAAGTTGAGTTTTTCTACGGAAAGTGCAGCTAAAGGAGTTTTGTCGCATTTATTTCGTCGTGGCATAAAAATAGAATATTTTGGCCACTCCGGATTTTTTGTTTTATAGGACTACATGGATGCAATAATATGGAATCTTTGCACATACACCAAGATTGGCTGCGGCATTTCTCATTTCCCTACCATATCTCATTTCTTTTGAGATTATTCTTTATATTTTACTGGCGACATATATCAGGTGGCTTTAGAGATTGACACGTTCTGTATGATAAAAGAGTTTCTCAAGCTTTTTTTATTCTCGTAGATGAGCACTTGCTCTACTAGAGACACGGAGCTTGTTACATTGTTGGTAATGATTGCATGGAACTTGTACGTAATGTAGCTCTTGGATTGTAACGTCAACTTTTTAATTCTCTGCACACCTGATTTCTTTTTTTTTTTTAATGGAATGTAGATAAAAGGAGATTCACCTCACATATCTAGTAATTGTATCAGCAGGTTCGTATATATTGACTAAGATCTCATGCTTATATGGGTACTTGGAAAGTGCACATGTATGAATATACTTACAAATTAGGACTGAAATCAAGCGCCATTTTTTAGTCGTCTTCCTTCACCTCATAAGCTGTTTTGAAATGTTAGAAAAATAAATTAAGGGAACAAGAAAGGAAAAAAAGAAAAATAAATGCGAGATGGTATATGCTTTCACAGTCGGTCCAGGTTCCTATCTGTCTCTCCACTTAGGTAGACCTTCTCTCCTCATCCCTTTATTAACTTTATCCCTATCACAGCAATATTATTTCCCACTTCTTCCTCTCTTTTCATGACAACCAGTCACATCGTATCCGCCTAAACCCTCTGAATCTAGTACAAAAGTAATATGCTAACTTGATTTGCCATTTTCTGAGCTATTTACTTTTGACAAACATTAATTTCATTGTGTATCTGAAATGAAAAAACTTGCACTGCTATGCTATTAGTTTCTGGGTATCAATATTGTTGACCTCACGATGTAACTGCAGCTTCTTGACTACAGGTAGCCATTTTAGCTATCAGGTTCCTTTATATTTTTTAGTCATTGATCACCATTCTAAGTCCATAGTAAAAGAGTAATGAAAGTGGGGTGTTGCAGGATGATCAGGGAGTTTGGATATTGAGGTCCTCTAGTTGTTTCTTATCTATTGCGTGGTGTAAAGAATGGATGAGGGTAGAGGGAGCTGGTTGTGATGCTGGCATGCAGTGACAGTTGTAGTTATGGTGGTGGTATCTGTGCATTTTTAGTTTCAGATTTTGAGGTTGGAGGGGGATGGGAGGACCAGGACTGCAGAAAGCTGGCGTTGCTCCAAAAACTAATTTGTTTCTCTTTTTTATTTAGTCTAAAGCATCTTCTTTTATCTGACCTCATCTTTTTGCTCTTTTCGCCTTTGCAATTGAAATGGATTGAGAAAATAAATTCGTCATTTTTTGGCTGTCACTTTGCTCTGGTAACAGATGTAGATATGGTAATTTCAGGAAAAATCGCTATTTTTGTATCCCTGCCGATTAAGGGGTGTCTTGTCAAACCTGAGGGTTGTAAGTGAAGTATGACATATTGAATATCATATTCCTATGTGGAGTCATCCATTGCTTGATCCTTTTCGTTTCTACTAATGCCTATTCCCAAAGGGGTATTCAAAGCCCTCACTCTTTCCATGATTCTAACTGCCAATTATTTCAGGGTTTGGCGGGATCTTGAAGAAGATGGGAAGTAATGGTGGCAAGGACATAAAGATATGCGAAAATGATGCCGCTGAATGTTCTGAAACAACTGTTGAAATAAATATCAAGACACTGGATTCTCAAATCTACACATTAAGAGTGAACAAATGTGTATGACTCTGTTCCTTTTCGCTGTTTTTATCAGAAATCTTGGGCTGTTGTATTTAGACTTTGATTATTTTATATTTGAACAAATTTTCATGGGAATCTTTTGTTTTTGATTCCATATTAGAATTTATGTTTGTTAGTAGAGACTCCCTTATAATCACTGGTTGCTGTGATGCAAAATCAATTGTCTATCCTGCAATTGTGAACTTCTCAATACTGAAAATTCTTTACCCTCTTCACAAGGAGGATTTCGCTTTGCCTCTCATTAATTATGATAAAAAATATCCAGGCATATTTCGTGTAACCATTCTCTTTTCTCTTCCCAGTCTTCTTTCTCTTTGTGCTATTCAATATGCTTACATATAGGTTTATATACATCTGCTGTGAACTGTAAAGCTTAAGAACTTTATATGCAGTTACCTCCAGGACTTCATCTTCTCTATCTGTGGTCTGGTAAGTATGTAATACCAACGGGTCGAAGTGGCAATCAATTTATATAATGACCTTGTGAGTTTTCACTTGGACCCACTTTTACCAATGGAAATGGCTCATTGTGCTTTGGTTGGCAGCATGAGAGTATGACGGAGTTGATGAATGTGCAAACGTAACAATGGCGATAGATTTGAGACCTGGGGTAGAGATTGGTTGCCACAATCTTTTAAGAAAGGAGGTGGGATGGTGGGCACAAAAGATTTGACTTTGTTTGAGAAACAATTATCAGCAGAATGGGCGATTTAGTGGTATAAAGGAGGAGCCATCAGTGAGAGAGGGAGATTATTTTTCCATTTACTGGGTGCACGACTTTATATTTTGAGATTTTGATTTGTCATTCTGAATGATTGTCTGATGTTGTTGTTGTTGCCTGCAACATTCATCTCTGTGCATTTAAAGGAAAACTGCACTTGTTGCAGTAATGATATTAAAGAATATTGGCAGTGGATTGAAATTTTAAAATCTGGCAATAGTTGTTACCTGCTGATTTTAATTTCTTCTCCAGTTTCTTTATTTTTGTATTGGCTGCAGGTGCCTGTTCCTGAGCTAAAGAAACAGATTGCTTCTGTAACTGGTGTCTTGTCAGAACAACAGCGCCTAATATGCCGTGGAAAAATTTTGAACGATGATCAGCTCCTCTCCGCTTACCGTATCCTTTGCCTCTTTATGCCCTTATCATGGAGTAGGATGAACTTAGGCCTAAGTGTGCTTTGATATCTTTGAGAAGTTTGGTCTAGCTTTTGGGTTCCCACTTTGAATGTTCTTTGAAGATGCAGGATGTAGGCGTCTGATCATTTCTTTATTTTTTTGACCCTATGGAACTTGGAAGTATTTAAGAAGTCTCCTTTCCAAGTAGCCAAGGAATGTTCTTTGATTGATTTATGCATCCATGGAAGTTATCAAAAGACGTTTCAAATGTGTTGTTCACTTTTAAAAGTGCTATGCCTTTGTTTGGGTTTCCTTTTTAGTTGCTAAAAAGTTACTTTTCAAAGTCAAACATTAATTTTATTCACACAATTCGTAAGACCTACTTATTCACGACTCATTTATATGAACTTATAATTTTGCAACTAAAAAGAAAACCCAACACTGTTCTGAGGTTGAGTTGTGAGGCCATTACCACGTATTAAACTACATTACAGTACAGTTGATTATTTAACTACACTCTAAAAAATACTCTGAGCTTGTTTGTTTGTAGAAGTCCTATATCAATATTAACCTTCGTAGTTAGTAAAATGAGACTTCTAATTTCATACTTTACTACATAGAATGCAGTTGTTTAGAAGGCATAGACACTGAATTTTTTATGCATTTGAAATCTACTGGATTTTTCGATGATAAGATAGGTATCGTACTTTTTTTTCTCATCCAAAATTAATGTATAAATTTTACATTCAATTGAAGCAACATAGGGATTTTGTTGAGAGACAAAAGTAAGGTATCTTTTTATCTAATCCAAAAATGAAAGTTTTTTGTTGAGGCTAGGTATATTTTGTCGAAATTCTGCCATATTAATTTCCTAATATTAGGGATTTTGTATCTTTCCTTTTATGTATTGAGCCCTTGGTTGTAGTGATTTCGTTCATCCTAGAATTATGCTAGACAAATTTGGTAGGAATTATCATTGAACCTAGAATTATGTCTAGACTGAATGTATTCGATTATCTTTCAAAAAAAAGTAAAAATGTCTAGACTGAATATATAGGTTTGAAGAATAGATTATTACTTGTGTACATAAACTTATGTAATCTCAAATATTCTAGAATCAACTTTCGTTCCATACTATCAGTATCGGGTAAAAATCCAACTTGAGTCTCACCACCACCCATTTATTAAAAAAAATGTAGACGTGTCAGGTTTTGATAGAAAAAATGAACTCAGCCTACTCATGAGGTGGTCATGTTAAAAAAAAAAAAAGATCAGGTAAATTCATGTGGCTCAAATCTAATAAAAGTTCAGCTTTTAAAAGGTTGAACCCCAACCTTAAGGGTTCCCCACCGTCCCTACCCTAGAGTATCGTGAGGGAGGTAAATCGCAGGTTATGCCTCCAAGGGTATAGGGTGGAAGGTTGATTATACACTTGCACTTACCCAAGAGCCAAATCCATATTTCAGGTTTCGAACCCTTGACGCGGCAGTTTCAAGCACAGCTGGATTTTTCCACCCTCCCTTTTAACCACTTGGAGATGTGCCCTGGGGGCAATAAAAGTTCAGCTTTTAGATAATATGGCTAGTGGAGATTTTTTTTTTTTACCCAAAAATGATGTATCAACATGAGCGAGAGTTGATAATTTTTACTTAATCGAGACCAGATGTGAAATCCAGATACTTGGAAGAGTATGAGCTGAAATATGAAGGAATAAATTAGATCTTTTTTGTAGCTCTCTCTTTAAAACCAAGTCATGCTTGAAATATGGGAAAAGAGTGTTCCATTTGCTGTTTGGGCTTAATTATATGATTCATAAATGCGAGGAAGTGTTAAATAACTAATGGCACGTACAAATATATAAATTACTACTCATACAAGCTGCCCACAGTTCATGTTCATCAGAAAGCAAGCTGTATTTGTTGGTCTTTATGTCAGTTGATGAACTTGAGATCTACAAGTAGTAGATAAAATATGTCATCATAATTTCTTCTGTGCTTGGAAACTTTGTTAAAGAATATAAGTTGGATGGCTGGTCATGTGATTCACATGCTAAACAGTAACTGAATGGATAATTTGTAATGTTGTTCTTTTCAGGATAATTTGTAATGTTGTTGTTCAATTCAACTAATTTTCAAGTCCCCCTCTCTGTTAGTAGGAAATTTCACGCATCTGTTTCACTAAAGGAAACAAACTCAAATGCAATCCAATTCGAAAGCATAACAGTTGTGCTAGTAACATGTTATATTCTATTATGTTGTTAAAATTACTATGCTGCCATTTTCAGAGGAAGCCTGATAGAGGTGAAAAGATGGACATTTGATGTTTGAGTTCCTTAAATTGAATTTCTTAAAGATGTGGAAGATGGTCACACATTGCACCTGGTCACGAGACAACCAGTTATTCCATCCTCAGACAGCTCACTCAACCAACCAGGTCTGTTGACTTTTAGCCTATTTGTAAGTTGTAAGTTTGTTTCGCCAACGTGTAGATAGTAAAAAGATCTTGAACTTGAGAAACAAATTATATTCTGCTCTTCTATGGCATCAAGATCCTATTTGAATTTTTGGAATTTTATATTTACTAGATGCAAAACTCTAGGAACCTAAGGTTGTGGTGTTATCTGAAAGTTTTTCCTTTTAATATACGTCATATACACTAAATTATCGTTTTGCATTAGAACCCGCTTTATTTCAAGTTGCTCCACGTAGCTTGAAGGATCTAGTTGGTAATAAACCACCTAATTACGTGCTGGGTAGATCAAATTGTGAATTTAAGTCACCACCACAAGTCGTCAAACTAATGGAGACCCGACTTTCCTATTGAGCTTCTGGAGGATTTGATATGAATGTCGCTTGCCCTAGATTAAGTAGTTTTGTAATAAAAGGTGCTCGATTAGTTTCTGCTAGACAAGAAATAAAGAACGTAACCAATAGAAGGATGTAACTGTTAAGATAAATATGAAGTTTAGTGCTCAAAAAAGGGATTTAACCAATTTTATCTTTTGTATTCAATTCTGAATGCTATCAATCAAGTGGTTTCTCTATTAATTTGGTTTTTAAGAGTTTATTTTACCTTGGTAGTTATTGCATTGAAATGTGTTCATCGCTTTCATTGAAGTATGACAATATGATTACTGAAGCACCTTTGGATTTAGTTTCTTCAGTTTCTAATTGTCTTTGCAAAATAACTTTGTTGATTTATACGCTATCTTTGACAAATCATACTGTAGATTGCTAACTCTTCCTTTCGAGATTTCTTTTCCTTCTTCCCTTCTCTTAAAATGGTAGATATAAAAAAGTAAATAAGTGGTATTTCTTTCAGCTAATTTTTGTCGTTTGGCTATGAAATCATAAAATATAGCACTTCACATGCACTGATTGATTAGATAGATAATTTTTTTATTGATGGATGATTGTTTTAAAGCATCTACCTGATTTTTAGGCACCTTAGCTTATGAATCAGTTTTTTCTGTTCACATTTAGCCCTTGTTTGGTTCCCATTAAAATTTTAACACTTTTTTCTCTTTTTTCTTTTCAACCACGCATTCTTCAATAAAATAATATTACATGTAAATTTTTTTTCCCTTTTAACCACACATTCTCCCAAAAACCACTATTCCAAAATACATTTTACCCAAATTTTTCATTATAATGGGGGCCAAACAAGGGCTTAGTTGAAGACGAGTGCCGTATATTGTTTGGCCTCTGAGCTAGCGTAACTATTCACTAGGTTATGGGTAAGTATTACGATATCATTGTCCTCGATTGACCTGATTCTGATACTTATATAGTGCTATTATAATGTTCATATTTGGATGTTCTGTTGCAATTGTATATATTGTTTTATTGGTTTTATATCATATGACCATTCATAAGGGGTGATAGTTATTTCTTTTTACACTGATTATCAAGAACCTTTATGCAGCAGCTGATCCCCCATCCTGTACTGGGCATAATCCTAATAATCATTTAAGTACCCGTATGGTAGTTAGTACCTCCACCATACCTGATAACAGATATGGACCTTTTTCTGATCCCAGTTTGGTAAGAATATGACATTCACAAAATTACATGGGGCTAAAATGGACAAACATTTATGGTTTTCTTCTTTTCATCTTTTAGATTGGTGCAGTTTTACGCATTACTTTCGAACTACAAAGGATTGGACGCGGTATTGTAGGGATTGATCCTAATGTAAGTTTATGGAAGTTTTGCCTTGAGGATCCAATTCTACACTGGAAGACTGCTAAGTTGGTTTTCCCAATGTGGTCATCTTTGTATGACTGTTTTTTGCATAGGACAACTTTAATAGTCCATCCTCTCCGAGAGGGGTTAATTGATTATTTCAAGATGTTTATTTGGACAGCGTCCTCCTTCAGAACTCCTCTTGACTGCGCCAGGACTCACTGGTCTGAGAAATTCTAGCAATCAGCAGCCTGAACAAGCTACTTCAACGTCTGTTCCCTTGGAATCTCTGGAGCCATCGGTAAACTTTTGGTTTTTGATTTTTAATTTTAACATTCTTCTTTTGTGCCTTTTGTGTTCTACGTAAAGAATATGAAAATATCTTTATCTTGCCCTTGACATGTGCCTTTTTATGCTGTCTCCATCCGTTGCTAACTTAGGTTTATTGACGTATGAAAAAAATTCTTGCAGGTTATTCCTGATTCATTGACTACTTTGTCTCGATTTTTGGATAACTTGAGGCAACGCAATGGTCAGGAACCTTCTTTCCTGGGGTTCAAACATGACTTTACCCTCCCCCCAAAAAAAAAAAAAAGAAAGAAAAAGAAACACCTTCCCCAGCTTTTATTTGGCTTAAGTTGTCTAATTTTCATGTGCTCAGGTGGAAGGCGAGGCGCAAATTCAAGAAATTCTGGGACTCGTGGGAATCGTGGAAATGATTTAAATGCTGACATGCATTCTAGCGAGCAGAGAAGGCTTCCAACACCAGAATACTTGGCAGAGTTGATGCTATCGAGAAGACAAATTATCATTGAACGAGGCATTGAGAGCTTATCGGTATGTCCACATGTTATGTAATTCTTCCTGACAGAAATAAGTAAACGCATAAAGTTAGTTGCTCTTGCTATAATTTCAACTTAAATTTTTGGAAATTCATCTTTAAAAGCTTTTTCTGTGGTGGAAAGTTCTCATTGTAGAAGAATGCCCTGAAAGCTTTGAGAAATAAGCCGATAAATCATCGTGAGCTTATTTGCAAATATTTTCGCGACTCTGAAATTTTTATTTTCCCTGGATATTCTTGAAATCATCTTCTTCCTAATACTGTTGAGGATGAAGGTTTAAGTTTTGTAAGATGTTTAAAGAAAATAAAACCTTAAATATTTGCCATGATTAGAGAGGACGGGGCAATACAATTCTGTTTTCTCTCCTGCAGCAACTTGCTAGGCAACTGGAAGGTCAAGCCAGTGTGACTGATTTATCAGAGCGGTCCAGAATTCAAGTTAATGCTCTAAGATCGGGATATCTTTTTCAATACTTGGGTGTTTTGCTGCTTGAGCTTGGTCGTATAATACTGACTTTGCAGATGGGTCAAACGCCAGTGCGTTAATTTACTCTTCGTTTTTTGTATTTAATATTCATCAGACCATGCGTATTTGCAGTATAGTATAGAGTCTACTCAAAATTTAACTTGTTGCAACCGTTGTTTTTTTTTCTCAGACTGAAGTACTGGTGAATGCGGGACCCTCTGTTTTCTTATCCTCTCGCAATCTTATAATGGTTCGAATGGTATTTTAAGAAATATTAATCTGTTGGGTTTTCACGTCTGTATGATTTGTTCATTCTCTAATTTATGAACCATATTCAGCCGCTACCTAATCGAGCACGAGTAAGAGCAAGAGCAAGAGCAAGAGCAAGAGCAAGGTCAAGGTTTGTTTCAATTTCTATTGGAACCGTTCAACTTGGCTCTGGATTTTCTGGAGGATCTCCTGCTTCTGGTTTGTCTAAGACTGTTACTTCTTGCTGACATCGGAAAAGGCTTGATTACTAGCAAATTACTTGATGATTGCTTGCATTAATGTGGTCTAAAGATTTTAACTGCTTTTCTATTAAGTTGCTTCTAACTTTCTTTTCTTGTTCTGGTGATCAGGTTCATTGCAGCGAGCAGAGCCATCCAGTTCACGTCCTCAAGGGGCAGGTATTCCATTGTCTTCCAACAGAAACTCTGATCAACAAGATGCCGCAGGACGTAATCTGAATTCATCAACTAGGGAATCCCAATCTCGGAATGTTAGTAGTTCTCAGGAGGGAGCAGCAACAACAGGAAGCGAAGAAGGTATATTTTTGTCTAATGTGTTACGTCAAATAATGCCCATAATTTCTGAGAACATTGGAGCCGAGTCAAATTCGTTATCCCGCGGACGAGCAAATCCTGTTGAAAACCAGGTCAGCCTGCATTTTATTCTATTATATATTTCAAATCTAAAGGTTGAATTAAGATACTTTTTCAGTTCAGCCTGGACGATAAAATTGTTATCCTTTTCTCTTATTTTGTGAGAAAGTATGATCAAGTGCAAATTCAGTAAATTCTTTTCAAATTTGATATAGAAAATGCTTCCTAAG